GAATACTTTGCTGCTTTCCCTTTGCTTCTTTCACTTCTCAGTGCAGTATTCCAGCTGAACCTTGCTAATCTGACAGCTCTTTGCTACCAGTCTGGCTGCAACCGGAGACAGCCTGAGCTCCAAACCTCTTTGGTATTTTCTCTGTGTTTGGAGATGTTATGTGATATTTTCTCCTGCATAACAAAAATCACTAAATCTTGCTAAGAGTTAAAACACAACTTTTTCCTTGGGCTCAAAAGCCTCTCTGCTCCATGGGAGTCTTTGTGAGATGCAACACTTCATCTTGCCCTTTCCTGAAGAGTAACCTGTCTTAGCAATTCCTTCCATGACCAGGTGTCTGCTGTGAGTGCTGTTTCTGCTGGTGGGTGAGAAGAGACAAACTACACCAGATACATTCACACAGAGGGTGGTGAGGCACTGCAACAGGTTGCCCAAGGAGGTTGTGGATGCCCCATCCCTGCAGGCATTCAAGGCCAGGCTGGATGTGGCTCTGGGCAGCCTGGGCTGCTGGTTGGCGACCTGCACACAGCAGGGGGTTGGAACTGGATGAGCACTGTGGGCCTTTGCAACCCAGGCCATTCTATGAGTCTATGATACATCTGGGCACTAAGGAAGCTAAGCCATGTAATCCTTGTCATTCCTCCTGTGATGGTGATGGTTTCCCCAGGAGATGTGTTAAAAAAATAACAAGGTCATTTTCTTTACGAAACTTGCCAAACCTCATTTCAGCCAAGCAGGAAGGGAGCACTGCTCTGATCTGTTTCTGACTTAAGCATGTGTGTGCCACGTGATGCTTGGGGCTCCTCAGACCCTCGGAGGAATCAGGCTGTCCCTCGAAGAGATTGTCTTTATAGCAGTGATAAGATGGAAGGGATCATGGCAGAGACCAAACTGATAAGGGCAGAAATAGTACAAGGAACAGCATGCTGAAGCTAGAACATTTAAAGCTGCATTAGAGGCATCTCTTTTCAGTCTGTTCAGTGGTTACCTTCTGTAGCCAAGTCCTTCAGGAGTAGATGGTCTTTTCTCTACAGAATAAAGAGCCTTCCAGAAGCAGGTATTACACGCCTCTTGCCCAAGTCCACTTTGTTAATATTGCAAAATTGCAATTGAACTAAGCTGATTAAATGGTGCTGTAGATTTGACATACAGAAACAATACTGTTAATCTGGCAGCCAAATATATTGGAGGGAAAATGAGGTAAGAGAAAACCATAAATTCTATCCAGAAATGTTTTTTCTTTATTAAAAAAAAAAAACCACCACCAACAAACAAAACAACAAAACATGTCTAGAAGGTCTTTCTTTCAAAAAAAACCAAAGAGCACTGCAGTGGAGGATATAAGTTTTTTTTATTTAAGCAAAGAAAGAATGCAAGCACAACATAAATTTGGTATTTAAAAAAAGAACAACCTGTGTTATTACATTTGAGAAGTTTCTTAAAATGATCTGCAGGTTCCATGGGAAAGATCTGCACATGCTGCATACGTAGCTGAAAAGGAAGCTGAATTCCTTTCTGTTCGTAATGTAATCATCTTACAAGCTATTTTTTATTAAATTAGACCCATGTGACTAAATTGCTACTGATGCCTTTTGTGAATGCTCCTAAATCATCAGCTAAATAGCAGCTGATCTAAGTTTGGCAAAAGGAAGAAATGAAGTTTTGGAAAATGATCTTCTTGTTCCTGATAGCAATCAATCAGAATGGGTTACTTGCATACAGTCTTTTAAGAGCACCGTAATAATGGGAGGGCTGCAGATCTTTTTTATGTTAGCAGAGGGAAAAGAAAAAGGTATAGTCCATACTTTGAGCTTAGACATGCTATGGATGTTCAGGTTTATATATATATGTATGTGTGTGTATGTGTTTAAATTTTATATATGTGTATTTATATATATAAATATATATCAATTGTGTGGATCTTTAGGGCATACAGCAGGATGAAAAGATTGCTGTCTTCAGTTTTTTCTATCATCACTAGAAGCAAAAGCAAAGCATACAGTGGCTTACCTGACCAATTAGTGAATTGTTTTCTTCTGTCATTTCCTGTTTAATTCATGCTTTTGATAGCTATTCTTTGTTTTCAGAGAAATCCTTCCTGTGTTCTAGGGGTCTCCTTCAAAGCAGCACACAGACAATTGAGACATTTTGGTATTTAGGGCATGTCCCCAGCTTTCATCTGCTCTTCCTTACCTTTCATGTTTGTTTTTTCCCATTGTCAGAACCTGCAGTGCTCTGGTATCCCTGGCAGCAGCTGGGAGTGCATTCACTTCAGAGGTGGGCGGCCCTTCTGTCCATCCTGCTTTCCAGACCCTGGGGAGAGAACTGGGTATAGGCCTGGCAAAGTGGGATAAGGCTTATATATTTGTATACATGCATTAAAAAACATTTTAATTCTTATAGGTGATCTTACTAGCATTCAGTTTGCTGAACATACATTGCTAATAGATAGCAATATGCGTCTGTTAAATCTGATGGGATTTGGGGGCAGTTGTGATTTAATTTGTTTCTGGGAGTTCTATCAAAAGAGAAATCCTTTGTAAAACTGCAGGTGTTAAAATTAGACAAAAATACTTTCTGTTCTGGGAAATTATATGCACTTACAGCAATTGAATATTGAAGTTGAAATGCAGGGAGTAAAAAAAAAAAATCTTAATAACCTGCTAACTATAATTCTGAGATTTCACAGAAACAGATTTCCTGGCCCTTCCTTCTGGTTCCTTTGAATAAATAAGACATTTACAGATCCATTGAAGCTCCCATGTAATGTCAACGCAACTAGTTCAGCTTTGTTAAATCTGGAAGTTCATTTTGTACTTAAGTTCCCTAGACAGGAGTTTTTCAGTTTCACCAAGGCTTACTGCTGTGTATATAAACTGAGTGTTTTATACTTACATATAACGTATGTTAAGTCAGTTACAGTGACCAGGAGTAGTGCTGAAGAGCACAGAACAGCAGTGCTGGTAACAGGAGGGGGAATAGCTGTTTACAAGGGTGGATAGTGATAGGACAAGGGGGAATGGTTTTAAACTGATACAGGGGAGGTTTAGGTTGGATATGAGGAGGAAGTTTTTCATGCAGAGGGTGGTGAGGCACTGGAACAGGTTGCCCAAGGAGGCTGTGGATGCCCCATCCCTGCAGGCATTCAAGGCCAGGCTGGATGTGGCTCTGGGCAGCCTGGGCTGCTGGTTGGTGACCTGCACACAGCAGGGGGTTGGAACTGGATGAGCATTGTGGGCCTTTGCAACCCAGGCCATTCTATGATTCTATGATTCTATGACTTCACCTGCTGGTATCCGAAATGTGGTAGAAAACTTTTGCAGTTTGCACTAATTTTGCCACAGCTAAATGAATGGAAAGATACTGTTGAACTTCTGTTCAACCCTTGTAATATCAGCCAATCAATACAATTTTTCTCTTGCACTTGATTGCCTTTTCAGTTCTTCAAAGACAAAATAAACAAGGGGCGTTATCTGAAGAAAGATGGATTTATTTTTCTTTTGCTGTGTAATCATCACAGATTCATACATTCTTACATTTCTAGCATTTTCTGCCTCCCCTAAATGTTTCCAGTTGAATTTTGGAGGTGGGTTTTTCCTCAAACAGTTGAGGCTCAGCACTGTGCCATGTTTTCTGTTTTCAAAGAAAGTCTGCAAAGATGTCAGTGTTCTACGTGCTTTGTAGTGTCCTCTTTGCAGTTTGAATTCTGTGGCATGATTTGTGGCATTCAGTGTCTGAAAGCTCAAGAACACTAATTATTTTATAATTGTGTGTGTCAGTACATGGCTTTCTCAACACAGACACAACAAGTAGAACTTCAGTCCAACCTATAACACCTTTGTGAGTTGTGAGTACTGATAGGAAATATTCACGTAAAACCTAAAGCTTTTCTATCTACAGTTCTATAATGCAGTTCCTTCAGACTTGACTTCTATGTTTAGAAAAGTTATTATTGTAACATCAGTTCTCTACAGATTTCCTATAGACAGAGACTGCCCTGGGGCTGTAAAATGCTGTTAGGGAGATATCAGCTGCCACAAATTGGAGGCGAATATTTGTGGATCCATCTAAACAGAAGAGAAAGAACGTTGCACTGTAAAGCACAGTAATGCTTGCACAGTTACAAAAAGTATTTTTCTATCTTCCAGAAATAACAACTAGGAAATATTCCTAATCCCTTCATTCATTTTTCTTGATTTATGTCTTTTCACATTTTCAACAGAAATTGAATCACCAGTGTTAGACCACCAAGATTACAGTTGACGAAATCTACAATCCTATATTTTGTTTCCACCTGTACCAACCATTTGAGGAGGGCACTAAATCACTCTGCTGCAGTTTTTTGTTAGTAAGTTAACAGCATTGCCATCCTCACGTGACTTGGGAAATAAATCCCACTTTGAGGTATGCTGGATGTTTGGATGAGTAGTGATAGAGATGCGAACTATTATCATTTGTACATGGAAATCTTAAAATGATCAGAAATGGTGTTTTGACAGATCATTCAAATTTGCTGATGCTTCACCTTTGGTGAGGTCGTATGGCTGATCACTTGGTTGTTAATTTAATTTGTTGGTCTGCAGAAATGTACCTGGGTGAGATGAGGATAGATCTCGTTACTATGACTTCAAGCTTTGCTTTGAAAACACGTAACTGCTGGATTTATGTCAATGCATTCAATTTCTGCTTTTTAAAACATTTTCATTTTCAAATACGTATACTTAAGCTCTGATACACTTCCCCCATATTGCAGCAGATTTAAGCTTTCTTAAGCTTTGTGTTTTCTTTAAAGTCCTGCAGATCCAGCCTTCCTTCACACCACCACCAAATGGTCTCAGACTCTTTAATTTCTCAGTGCTGTCTTCACTAGGTCACGTTACTCAGCATTTGTCATCCCTTTAGAATCCCTTTTAAATATATAATATTACACTGAAGGCTCACTTTTTATATTTATTTATTTATTTATTTATTTTTATTATTATTATTTTTGCTGCACCTCTTGAAGGAAAAATTTGATACAATTGCACAAGCATTGTGAAAACTGTTGTCTCTTTCTGAAGTTACCTGAAAGATCGTAGCCCTGATTATTAGGATGCATATTGCAATATGTTCCAATACTGTAAAGTAATGAAGTGCAACACTATATGGACATGAGTCCATAGCTTTTTGAATTGAGTAAGAGTTAATGGCCATAATTTATCAAGGCCTATTTTCCTGGTTTTCTATGCTTTGGTCTTTCAAGCTTTCCACTTCCCTTGTGCCTTTTCTACTTGGTCTGCCTCTCACAGGGGTGGTACAGATGTTGGTGGGCAGCCTAATTTGGGGATCTGGAGGTATGAATTGATTCTGGAGCTTTCTCCTGCTCTCTTGAATGATGTATAAGATCAGAACATAGAGCTCTCTGGCTGTAGGTGTTCTACTATTAAGGTAGTTTCAAATATGTGAGAGTAAGAAAGAGAAGTCTAGATATCATGTTCTCATGTTACTGAGTGGCGTTGCAGCAGAATGTAATGCCTGTCAGGACAGAGGTGAGGAAAGCACACTTCCTTGGGGTTGGGTTAATGAGATCTTTGGGGTTTTGGTGTTTTTTGGCTGTTTTTCTTTAGTTTGTCCTATGCCATGTGTAGACATAGGTATGGTTATAGTTTTCTGCAGTGTACAGCTGAAAGCCTTATGATTCTCCAGGGACAGCTGCACTTTAGATAGTTACTCTCCATGGAGAATTTTACTAATTGTAGAGGTTATACTGTTGAGATTCAAGAAGAGATCAGCTGCTATAGAAATATTTGCAAGGAACCTCTAAAGCAAAGAACTACAGATGCTGTGTTTGGAAGAGAAATGGGACTTACTTATAATGTAGTTAGATGAGTCTTCTAGAAATACTGTTTTGCTTCTCAGAACTCTGAATAGCACTGGAATTTTTACTGTATTGAGAGTGAAGTCTCAGTGTAACTCAATACAGAAGATACAAAGCTCTAGGTATTGCTGGAGGCTTCTCAAGGACCGTGTAGGCTGACCTTCTGCCTTGTGCTGATGAGAGAATTAAGGAAGCTTTTAAACTTACACTTACAATGACATCTTTCTTTGCTAATGCTAATGAGAAAAATCTGTTATATCTGTTATATATGTTATATCTTTTATATATATGTGTCCATAAAATGGTAAATAACAGTTAAAAACAGGATGGAATTTGTTCTTAGAGCGGTACTAGAGCAGAGTTGTCCATCAAATGATCACATTAGTTCTTGCTTGCTGGTCTCCGGTTTGATTGCTGGTTTATTTATTTTTTTCCTTCAAACTGTTAAATATTGAAGCTGCCTTCTCTGCATCATGAAGCAAAAAGGAAATCTGATGGTTTTCCTCCGAATTCATTTCCAGCTGTGTGCTTTTGCAGCTGAAGTCAGTCATCTCGTAGATCCCAAACCAGGAGGAGGAGGGATCTGTGCTCGTTCTGTGCAGTGCTTGTTGCTGTTGCTTTCCTCTCATCCCACTGATGGGGGGGGTGTGGGGGTGGGTGTTTGTGGGCGAGAAGCTGGAAAACAAAGATCTGCTCAGCGCCTTTCAAATCTACTAGTTCTCAAATTTGGCACTTAAAAAAAGACATTTAGAAAAGGCTTTACCTTTGTGTAGCTGTACACAGGAATGTTATTATGAGTACTGTTTTCTAATGTTTTCTGTGTACATTTAGCTTAGGGTAGAATAATCTTTGTAAGACTGCAAAAACATACCTCCCAGAGGCAGATGACTGATGGAGACTGCAAGCCTTTGTAGTGTTTCTGTGGCAGTGCCTCTTATGTGTGCTCCCTTATCTAAAAGCAAATGGGCTGAAATTTTGCACCTGTTCTGACTAATGGGTTTCTTTTAATACCCAAGCATCCGTATGAAGCTTGAGCATGGTTTTCACCCTTGTAACTTAAAGCAAGACGTGTAACTTCATCAAAGTTACTTTTGATTTATGCCTGTGCAAAATTTGGCTCTTTCAAGGAGCTCAATTGCTGAAGCAAATGCAAATATTTAATTCCTGAGGTTTTTGTGTCTTTTGTTTGCATTTGTGACACTGTAATTAAAAGCAAACTCCTGATGTGCTATGGATGCAGGCAGCTACTGGGACTGGAAGACGAGTGCAATTTCACCTGGTGGGACCAGAGGCTTTCCTATGAAATCCCATAGAGGGGTGTGGGGGGGCCTATTCTGTAATTTTCAGTTTGTTACTTTGTTAAATGTCTGGACAATACTTAACGTCAATAGCATTTATAGAGGAAAATACCCCAAATAATACAGAAATAGAGTGTAGGAACTATTTCCAGTTGGAACAAACGGAAAGCTAACAGCATTAGGAAAACATATTGATGTTTTTACATAGCTGTGCAATAAAATGCTCAGGTTAAAAATAAATCTGACTTAATAGCACCCACGAACATAAAAAATAATGTCTAAAACCAGTGTATTATTTTTCCCCAATGATTTATGAGCATTGACTTTTTTTTATTGTGATGTGTTCAGATGGTTTAGCTTCTTTGAAGTTGCTGCTTGGGAATAAATTAGCAAAGTGTATTTGGAGGTTTGGAAAGTTTTGTTTCTCAGAAGAATAAGTAAATGTTGAATTGGATCTATGTAAGATGCTTTGTCTTCAGCCCAGGAAGAAATTTAAAAAAAAAAAAGAAAGAAAAAAGAAAAGAAAATCAAATCAAAACAGATTCTTACATTTGAGCAGAGACATATGCTTTGTGGGTTGGCACCAGACTAGTGTGCAGAATCTTGTAGAACCAACTCTTCATACTCTAAGATATTTAGAGGAACAACATTCAAAGCACGGTGCTAGAGGATTTAAGGAGAAGATAATACAGAGTTCCTTCAGATGGAAAATGTCTGCATGGAGATTTCTTGGTGGCCATCCATTTATTTCTAATGCCATGTAACATTGAGTCCTTTGTGTCAGTGTCAGATGACGTACGTGAATCAGTTACTGCAAATAATGTCTTCTAAAGAGAAATAATGTTTTAATTTCACTGGTAAATTCACATCGTGGAAGGCAGGGTTACATTGAATCCTGGCTGCTAAGATGATGATAAAATCACGTGAAGGAAAGAAGCACATGCTTGAGTACTGTGCAGTTAAATGAACAGGTCCCAAGAAATGTACGAGATTCCCCTGAAATGCCATTCAACACAGAAGAAACCTTTTCCCTTCAGTGCAATTCTCCAGCTCCTTCCAGAAGTCTGTGAGTTTCTGAGAACAAAACTAACAATATCCTTACAATCACAGTTGTGTGTGAGAGAAATATGATGAAATTGGTTCAGAAATAACATCTGTAAAGGGGGTGAAGTGGAAGTATATGGATTTTGGTTGTGCCAACATTTAGGGGAAAAAAAAAGTATAACCTACTAATACAAAGACCAAGCGAGAATGAGTTACTCAGCAGGCAGAAGAAATATCTGTTCAGTGGCGTTAAGAAATGTGGGGAGATTTGGATGGGATTCAGTGTAAGAAAATGGAAGGCTGAGTTTAATGGGCAATTGATAGTAAGCCTCACACCGTATTACATGTGCAAAGTCCCTTTTAGGGAAAACAAATCACAGACTGTGAACCACTTTGAAAATAACAGCTTAAAATGGCGCAAAGAAATGTTGCATTTATTTCCCTGCAGTTGCTCCATGTTTCATTTTCTCCCTGTAAGAAAAAGTGTTTTGCTTCAGGTCTGAGTGCAGCTTGCATTTCAAGACCCGCCTCTTGGAAGGTTTGCTTTTTGCTTTGCAACCACCGATAAGCATCAGCCGTGCAGAACTTATTAAACAAATCTGTTGATGGATGCTGTTTTGGCTTCCATACCACTGTAGTCCTCTAGCTGGATTGCTTTGGCATATCCAAGGGGTAAAGGACAGCCAAAGCCAGGCAGAGCTAACAGAGAAAGTGTGTATCATGTCTGCATGACTCGTAGACCAATTGAGGTAGAAGTAGTCCATGGAATTCAGTGAGGTTTAGTGTTCTCTTTGCCTACAGTAAGGTAAAATGATGTTGTATCAGGGCAGAGCAGTCGATGACCTGGCTGTGGTGCCTGCCTACCTCCTTCATCAGCTTCTGCTGGCCTTGGGCTGTTGGAAACACCGTTCTGTCCCTCTCCTGCCCCTCAGCCCTTTCCCGAGCCACAGCAGGAAAGCGGTGGCAGTGCTTTCAGTTCCTGCACAGCAGTCTTTTAATACTGTAAGAGGGTCATTTTCTATCTGGAATTTTTCCTCCATACCAACCCATCAACTCCAAGCTTGGCAGGCATCAGGGCGCAGCGTACATCCAATTTCTTCTTCAGATTTTTCATTAGAAAAGAAGAGCTAGTGTAACCCCGGTAGCCTGCACAATTTTATTTCAGAGACTGCTCTGAAAGTTATTTTTCTATGAAGATGTTAAATTTTTGGAGGCGTTAGAAAGAAAGTTTAAGTATTCAATAACTTGTTTGGAGGAAGAGATCGATTTGAGAGTTTTGTGTTCTGAGCCAATGGAAGCTGAGGGGTTGGATTTATTTCAGAAAAAACCATGGACAATTCACATAAAGCACTATAAAGCATATATATCATATATATATCATACAGATGAACTGCAGTAATTTCATGTTTTTGCAATTGGAGGTGGCATTAAGCAGCTATGGAGGACCTCTGGTGTGCTGGGGGACCTGGTGCTCTTATCAGCCTTCCACGTGTCCTGGCTGCTGACACATAAATCTTCGCAGCTTGCTAATAGATGAAAGACTAAATAGATAAATAATGCTGAAAACATCAGTATGAATGAGTGGCATGTGCTAGCCTGAGTTTTACTGCTGCTCTGGTCAGCCCTGGCTGGAGCTAGTGCAATTTTGCCTCTGCTCCAAGTTGGATTCCTCCGTAACATGAGAAAGGCTAACCCGAATGGAACCAGCTGAGGGGAGGGTAACATTATTTACAAGATGAAAGCTTTCTGACTTGATTAGCCTCCTAGTTAATGACATCTGTTGCTAAATGTGGACTGAAAGAAGTAATGCAGCATATGTTAGGCTATGGGGATACCGGTGGGGCCCAATGCTGTGTGTAGCAGCAAGCAGGTCCTGCATCTTTAGGAGGGTTGTCTTTAAGCAATTTGTACTTTGGCTTACCAGAGGTTAGGGAGGTGACTTGACTTTGCCTGCTTGCTTTGTTATTGCATGTAAAATAATGTGCTTCAGTGTTAATTTGCAATTTATTTTGGTATTTTTTTGTAATCTTTAACCCGTGCGATGATTACTGTTGTTGCTTTCATATGATAACAGTGGATTTCCTAAATTTGATGTGGATGAGTTGTTGTACTTCTCAGCTAGGTAAATGCCTTTCCATGTACTGGCTGTGGGCCTATGTGGTTTTAACAGCACCTAATAAACTCATGCGTTGCATGCAGTGCACAATTTTACCTCGTGCCTTCTCAGCAAATAAACACAAGATACAAAAACCCCAAGCCTTGCTGCAGCTAACCTGGGTGTACTTTTTTGTGGTGTTTTTCCTCAGATCCTTACTGACGATGGTGATCATTGGAGGTAGAAATACTGAAGGATACGTCATTTACAGACAAGATCTTTGAAGTTTATTTCCTTCAGACAGCGGTGGTAAGTAAAATATCTGTATTGCGTATTTGTGCGTAAGTAATGCTTCAGTCCTCAAAAATAAAGTATTAACCATAATTTAACAGCAGCTGGAGTACAGGATTCTGGCTTTGCTTCCGAAATTTTTAAGACTTTTTCTTTTTAGCTTATTTATTCTCATATTAAAAATAAGCTATATGAAAGGTGTGGGTTTTTTTCCACTGTTCAGTTACAAGAATATGAATCCTTAGCTCACTTTTTTCTCCCTTTAATACATTATCAATGTAATGTTATTCATTGTTCTTTCTTCAGCAAGAAGCTTTTTTTGTACCACAGATCATTGGCAATATCTGTGTGTGATACTGGTCACAGCCAGGAGTACCTCATGTATTGAAATCTGAAGAGTATTTCAGCGTGGAGATTACTTCTCAAAAATGAGTTGAGCAGAACTTAAAAAAAAAAAAAAATGGCACTGCACACACTAAAACAGTGGCTAGTCTAGGGAAGTTTTCTGTGGGATATTAGAGATGTAACTTCTTTTTTAATTAGTTATTAGTTAGAGATATGAGTCTGATGTACACTCTAATTGCACTATTCATTTTGAGTGTGTGGACTTTTGGTGACCAATATAAATGTCAGGCGCGCAAGAGTTCTATCTGTATTATTTTTATTCTAACTGTTATGAAACTAACTATGTAAACACTTGAGGTAATACGGAGAGAATATTTCTGTTGTGGCAATAGAGCTAATTTCCCCAGTCATTATCTGCTGTTAATTTAATGTGTGGCAATATCTGAAATTTAGGGATGATTATATGGTAGTAGATTTTTGGTTAGCTGTACAGCTCATCTATGAGCAAACCAATTAAGATGTAATTTCAGAATATAATTGAACTCCTAATGGGGCACTTTAATTCACTTGAAATTTACATATTTGCCTTTTTTTGTTTTAATAGGCAAGTCCAAAATGAGGGTACAGCTTCATTTTTGAACTTATGAATAGAGCAACTTCATCTTAGGCTTTTCAAAATGAAATGTGTAAAATGCTCTTGAATAGGAGGATGGAGATTAATAAGCTACTTAGTTCACAAAATCTGAACTTTCAATAGCTCTCACTGGCTATTTATTTGAAGAATAAAACTTGTGTTGTTAGGATGCCATGATGTTACTGATACTCTTCACCTGCAGCACAACACCACCTGATGCAGTACAGTGAAAACTGAGCCACTTGCTACAAAGTTTGCTCAGCATTCAGAACTAATTTTCTCCCTTTATGCATGTCTGAGCAGCTGGGATCAGCTGGGAAAGAGCTTGTTCTGCAGATCTCTATTACTGATTTTTCAAGCAGCATGAATAGAAAATTCTTGGAACTGTGTTGTTAGTGTCAGTTCGGCCTGACAGAGGATCAGGGTTGGGACACGCAGGGTCAGGGTATGTGTTGCTTCCATATTAAGTACCTCATTTCTGTAGTGTTTGGAATGTATTGCTGTTTAACTTCCTGATGAGTATCATTTTACATAAGTCAGAGGATTTGTATGTAACCTCCCCCTCCTTTTTTCCTTTATCTACTGTGGGATTTTCAGCCCGCATTTAACTGCAAGGGCAATGAAACAGCATGTGACTCAGCTCCATATGCAGTGGACGCTGGCAGATGTATCTGGGCTCAGGCAGCCCTGGTTCCATTGGATTTTGTGTCATTTTAGGTTTTCCCAGCTTCTAGATGAAGCAGTAAGAGAACAGCAGATGGGAAAGAGTTAAAAAAGTGTGGCATGCATAACTGAATTACGTGACCTAAAACGAGGAAACAAACGATACAAACAGTAGCTGTTTGTTCGAGGAAGGCTCAAATTAAGAAAGAAATGAAGGCAGTTCTCTTTTCTTTCCTTTTTTTTTCCTTTTTTTTTTCCCCAGAACGGAAGACCTGTCTCTCATAAAAGTACTGAGCTGAGGTAGATTACTTACACCTCTGTGGTGCTGAGGTTAAATTTTGTGGTATTGTTGCTGCTGTTTCCTTCAAGGATAGCCTCTGAATATGTTTCAGTTGTTCTAAACTGGGGAACTATTGTACTTAGTAAAGGAAGACTGGAGAGTAAATATCAAAGTTAGCATTTGGGTTAAGAAGAAATGTTTTTTGCGTGTGAAAAACTGGGATAGGGAAATTGTGTCTGCAAGGTTAATGTTTTACTACTTATTTCCCTGAAGCTTTAATACGGACCTGTGGATAGAGCTCAGAAAACTGCAAAATCCAGAAAACTAGAAAAAAACACTTAGCCCTGATTTTAAATACCTTAGATTTTATTTTGCTCTTGTTTTGCCTACCATTACTAGACTGATCACAGCTGTGTAGGTACATGCACACATTGTTTCTATTCCATTTGATCTATTTTTAAATGTAGGGGCTCTTTGTATTTAATACGCATTACTGTGCTTGCAGTCTTAATACTTCAAAACCTTAGTGACCTTGGTTCACCCTCTTGTACCTTGCACATTATCATGCAGTCTTTAATTATATGATAACATGCTATTTTTCCCCCTAGAAGGAAATCCTTGCATTACATAGGTGTCGTTTAATCAGTATGGAGCTATCTGTTATTTTTAATTGTTCTGTGTGTGGTTCCAGAACTTCTGTACTGTATAATTTTCAAACCTTGCTATGAAGATAGAATTAGGAATTTGCCTTTGTTCCTTAATGTATTTTTTAGCATCAGGTTTGCTCACAGTCTTTCTGACAAAAGGGACCCTGTCTGTGACTCCCAAACCTTCTGCAGAAACATCTTCTATGAACTCTCCTTGCCAGCCATTTGCTGGGCTGCTGGGGTTTGTTTCAGGAGCTGCAGATCCCCAGGGTACTTGCTGCAAGAAGATTCTTTCATCAAGAAGGGAGCGAGAGCAATGGCTCTTCATGAGAAGCGTAGGAAGTGGAAGGTTTGTGGGTCTAGGCATCTTGCTTTTTCTCTTCCTCTCTCCTTTTCCATTTTTCTTGGTATCTAGCTTCCCACTGAGCCATTTTTATCATACCCCAGCACACCTCTCGTCTTGTCTCTCTGTCATGTAGGTCTGCCTTGTCTCTATTTTCTTTTCTTCTCATTCAAGCAATTTCTGATGCCAGTTACTTTCTTTTCCAAGTTCATTACCCATTCTTGCACAGTACCATTCTTCCCTAGTTTCATATACTTTCCCAGCTTACAATACCATTCTGGCTCCAGATTTGCACCCGTTTCCCATGGCACGTTCACGCAGGTGGGCACTGGCAGTGGTGTATCTTCTGCCCCTGGTGCTGTTCTGGAAAGTTTCATACAACCCTGGGAGAGCAGGCAACTTTCTGCCAAACTGTGTCCTTTCTGAAGTGCAGTTACGCATTGAAATTGTACATTTCAAGAACTGTACGTTACAAACAGCTTAAATTGGGTAGTAGAAGACAGTCTGGAATTTATGAGCGTTTTTAGTGCACATATAGTGGTGGTAGCATGAACACTGGATTTTCTCATCCATAAACTGAGATGGCACTTACTGATTTGTGCTATTTATTTCAACATGTGAAAGAAACCAGAATTACACGTTACAAGTCCTCTTTTTTTTTTTTTTTTTTTGTTAATCACATAGAAGGGAAGCAAAAATGTATCAGAGAAATACTGCATTAATAAAATAGACTGGTTATGCAAGCTTCAGAAGTATGAGTGAGGCTCACATCTGTTGCTTGGGTTTTATCTTTCTAAACAGTACGTGGAAAATTCTCGTAGCTCGATAGAATTTCATATTGGGCAATAAAATGATAGATGTGTGTAGTCCCATGTGCCTTCTCCAGCTGCGTGCCATGTAAAGTAGGCTTTGAGAACTTTCTGAGCTGCATAATTCTAAGACTCGTGATACATCTCGGTACGAAACCAGGCCTCACCATCCAACCTTCAGAATTTATAAGACTGTTTAATTATGCTGAAGTATGTAACATATGACTTGGCGTTGCATACACAGTCCTTCCCTAAATAGTTTTTCTTAGAACTGTGTCATTACTAATGTTTTGACTGCAATTATTCTAAGACAGAAAAGGAGTAGTGTTATGCTGCATCATTTTTCTCTCTGGAGCAGCCTGCAGCCCAGATTGGAAAAGCTGTCCTTCAAGAGTTTTCCTTAAAACTGAGCCCATTTGTCATTCTCACAGCCCCAATGTTTTTCTGGGAGCACTCAGTTCTCCACGTCCCTCTCACCTTTTATTACGAAATGGTATTTTTTTGTGAAAGTGGAAGTTATTTTCTGTAATGCGAGATGCAGAGCAGTTAAGCTATCTTCAATTTAAGAAAGGGGAAAAAATAAAAAATACCAAATTTGAAAGTTAATTCTACAAAATTTTTGAAAAAATAAATTTCTATATTATTTCACTACTTTTAGGTACATTTTAGAGCCAAACTTTAGTATGTGTTTTAAATATAATTGATTTAGTAAGCCATTCTCTGCTTCAGCAGAATATTTTTGCCAAGTGTTTCACGTTTCACCAGAGCACTGAGTTTGCTTTCAGTGATCCCCTTTTCTTCTCTCCAGATCAAATACAGGCTGGTGTTTCATTGGAACACATGGTAAACAAATACTAGCCACTGCAAAGGCTTTCCATTTTGTAACACTGCACTAGAGAACACCCCAACACATGTAAATATCTTCAGACTTTTTTTTGTTAGTAAATGAACCAAACTCAATGGTTTAATTAGAATCTCAATGTAAAATCTGTAGGTAACGCAAAAATTTATGATAGTGAGGTAATTCTCTCTCAGTAGTTTGATAGAACAGCTGTTTAAACTCGTCTTATTTGTTATATACCTTTTCTTATCAACACTAGGTGTACGTGCTCATGGATTTTGGATTAGTTGCCTGAGAGCTAGCTTCATTCAATCCCAGTGACCTGCACGTCATCAGCTTTTTGTTTCTTTTACTATTTCTGTCCATGATATTAAATAGTTTTAAAAATGATAATCCTGATATCTTCCTGTAGTGTTTGGAAAATTTAAGTCACTTCATCTTTCTTTGTCCTGCGAG